CCCGAGAGTACCACTGTTGTATTTGTTCACCCGTAACATGGTCAGTTCATGATCCACATCTGTCCCGAGAGTACCACTGTTGTATTTGTTCACCCATAACATGGTCAGTTCATGATCCACATCTGTCCCGAGTACCACTGTTGTATTTGTTCACCCATAACATGGTCAGTTCATGATCCACATCTGTCCCGAGAGTACCACTGTTGTATTTGTTCACCCTTTGTATCACCTTTTCTGTGCCCCCCACCCCTCCCAAAGACAAACTAACAAACACGATGAAAGGAAAAGAAAACAGCAACAACAGCAATTTCAACCAAGTCACTTGGTTCCTATACAATATTACACGATCACGTGCACACGGCCATCAAGCCTTTGTGGTCTGCTCCTATGCAGATCCTCCTTTGACTGTGAATGTCTAGAGCCCTGTGTAATTGATCACATCCCGGTGTGTGTATAGGTACATATATTTTTTTAATCTTTCGGTGTGCTTACTTGTAGACTTATAGGAGAGGCGCATTCTAGCTACCACAAATGAGGGAAACCATGCAGAGTATGTTTCTTTGGATCTGGCTGACTTCACTTAATACAATTTTTTCCACGTCATTCCATTTCCTTACTCATCGTACAATATGTGTGTATATTGCATGTTTTCCTGATCCAGTCTCCACGGAGAGGCATCTGGGTTGGCTTTGTACCTTGGCTATGGTGAACAATGCTGCAATGAGCATGTTTGTGCTGGGATCTGGGGCCTTTCGTCCACATAATTCCTCTCTGTGCCTGGGGAGTCTTCTCCGCACTCCTCTCTTGAAGAGTCAGAATGTTAAGTCCTACTTGGGAGACAGATAGAAGGATCACAGTTGGAGGCAAAGAAAATTCCGGAGACCCTGTGTCAAAGAACAATCCAGATGTGTGGTCGACATCTACAATCCCAACGACACGGGAGGTATGGGGGGAGGACCATGGTATAAAGTTAGCCGGACCCCATCTGAACAAACAGACAAAGCAAAAAGGGCTAGGAAAGAGGCTCACAGGGCAAAGTCTAGGTGATTGTCTCCTCATTACCTCTGCGCTCAGATTTCACCTCTCTGGTTCACAGAAGTTCTAGGAAAGTTCTCCAGCGCCTTCATAGATGTAGAATAACTTTAGCCCCTCCTCAAGAATCTCTGTAGCCTCTATTTCCAATCTAATACCCACAAATATCCAATTTAAATTATGCAGACACAGATTCAGAACAAGTGCCTGAAGTAGGGCGCAACAGCGTCGCACGGACGTGATGAAGCGCTGGAGAGGCATGCTGAGAGATTTCAGCTTCACATGCATCGTGACAGCGTCGCAGACATGATGATGCGCTGGAGAGGCATGCTGGGAGATTGCAGCTTCACATGCATCGTGACAGCGTCGCACGGACGTGATGAAGCGCTGGAGAGGCATGCTGAGAGATTGCAGCTTCACATGCATCGTGACAGCGTCGCACAGACGTGATGACACGCTGGAGAGGCATGCTGGTAGATTTCAGCTTCACATGCATCGTGACAGCGTCGTACAGACGTGATGAAGCTCTGGAGAGGCATGCTGGTAGATTGCAGCTTCACATGCATCCCCACAGCGTCGCACAGACGTGATGAAGCGCTGGAGAGGCATGCTGAGAGATTGCAGCTTCACATGCATCGTGACAGCGTCGCACGGACATGATGAAGCGCTGGAGAGGCATGCTGGGAGATTTCAGCTTCACATGCATCGTGACAGCGTCGTACGGACGTGATGAAGCGCTGGAGAGGCATGCTGGTAGATTGCAGCTTCACATGCATCCCCACAGCGTCGCACAGACGTGATGAAGCTCTGGAGAGGCATGCTGGTAGATTGCAGCTTCACATGCATCGCGACAGCGTCGCACGGACGTGATGAAGCGCTGGAGAGGCATGCTGGGAGATTGCAGCTTCACATTCATCGCGACAGTGTCGCACAGACGTGATGACGTGCTGGAGAGGCATGCTGGGAGATTTCAGCTTCACATGCATCCCCACAGCGTCGCAGACGTGATGATGCGCTGGAGAGGCATGCTGGGAGATTTCAGCTTCACATGCATCGTGACAGCGTCGTACGGACGTGATGAAGCGCTGGAGATTTCAGCTTCACATGCATCGTGACAGTGTCACACAGACGTGATGAAGCTCTGGAGAGGCATGCTGGTAGATTGCAGCTTCACATGCATTGCGACAGCGTCGCAGACGTGATGAAGCTCTGGAGAGGCATGCTGGTAGATTGCAGCTTCACGTGCATCGCGACAGCGTCGCAGACGTGATGAAGCGCTGGAGAGGCATGCTGGGAGATTGCAGCTTCACATGCATGGCACAAACTAGCCAAGCCACGTGAGAACTCAGTCCTTTGTTTGGTGGAAATCGAGGCCCCCACTGGCGCAATCTGGACCTGACATGTCTGGACCTGTGGACCCCAGTGCAGTCTTGTTCACAGACCGAGCCTCTGGACATGGAGGGGACCAGGAACGCTCTGGCACCCCCAGGGGACTCATCCGTTTCCGATTCATAGCTTCATGGATGCTGAATGGTGATGGGAAATGGCCCGCCCGCCCTTCCTCTCCTTCCCCTTTCTCTCCCTCTCTCCCTGACATAACAGCGCCCATTTCTCCTTCTGCCTCCCATGAAGTGGGCACGTGCTCCCGAACGCCACGATGTTTGGCCTCACCACAACCCACAAAAAACAGGGCTAATGACCATGGGTGACAACCTCCAAAAACTTGAACCAAAACAAGTCCTTCCTCCCTTACTGCATTGCTTTTTTATTTCGAGGGGTATTTTGTCCCCTCAACCCATACCTCTTCGGTTGTCTCCTTGGTCAGAGCTACAGCCCACGTGAGGAAGAACGTACCAGCTATGCTGACAGTCGCTTGGGAGTAAGAGGACCTGCGTCCAACATGAGAGAATCTGCTGGCCTGCAAGGGAAAAGAAAACAGCCCTTTATATAAGAAGGAAGAAAGGCTCCTCTGCACATCAAGTAGCCACAGTGTTTTCTCCCTCCAGATAAAGATAACTGTCTTGTCAGGTAACAGCTAGTAACTGGCTGTTACCAGATTCAAACAGAATCAGATCATTCATTCATGTAACACGTATTAAGCATTTCTTCTTCCCCCAACCCCCCAGTCATGGGGCCTGAACTCTGGGCCTGGGCGCTGTCCCTCAGCTCTTCAGCTCAAGGCTAGTGCTCTACCACAGCACCACTTCTGGCTTTTTCTGCTTATGTGGTGCTGAGGAATCGAACCCAGGGCCTCATGCATTCAAGGCAAGCACTCTACCACTGAGCCACCTTCCCAGCCCCATGTATTAAACATTTCTTATCATTTAAGTCAGGAATATTAGTATATTGGGGCATATTAATAGTGAACACACAAGTGAATATGGAAAATGCAAATTCATCGTCCAAGCTGCCCAGCTCTGAGTTTTAATAATACATTGGAGCTGCCATCCAATGGACTGACCCTCCACAGTCATCTCTACAAGCCCACTGAAAAAAACACCAGAAGGCCAGGCACATCTGTAATCCTAGTTACCCAGGAGTCTGAGATCCAGAGGATCATGGGTTGAGACCATCCCAGGCCAGATAGATAGATAGGTAGATGGATGGATAGATAGATGGATAGATAGAGATATTTTAAAAGCCCTAAAGATTTCATCTCCAAAATAATCAGCACAAAGTTGGCCTGAAGGCATGGCTCAAGAGGTAGAGCACCAAGCAAGCAAGCATGCTCAGTAAGTGTGAACCTTGACTGCGTTCAACCTCCAGTACTGGCAAAAAGAAAAAAGAAAACACTAGAAAATTGTAATTCTGTGATTTCGGAATAGTTACACACACCCTCAGACATGGTAACATATGCTTGGAGCCATACTGCAGGTTTGTTGGGAAGACTGAGTAAAGAACTTTAAGTACAGAGTCCACCTTGGTAAGCTTCAATCTAGTGACAGAGAGAAAACGAGCACACACTTTCACAACAAGGCAATGACACGAGACTGTCGGGTACGTTGATGGTTTGAATGCATAAGCTCAGCTTTGTGACTCCAACTCCAGAAAAGTGAATGCCAGGCAGCCAGGCATGCTTTCAAAACCGAGCATTCTACCTGGAGAAACAGAAATTGATGCCAGGAAGGCCCGTTAATGCTGTACAGAGAGGTTACAGTAGCCGTGGGCAGATGACTGGCCACAGGGGCAGTCAAACTGCACGTGTGGATGAACAATGATCTGTTATTTTATTGGTGAAACTATTGCCTACAGTATTTTGGAAGGTATTTCCTGTGGGTGACAACTTGTGGCTCTGGAGAGACAGGAAAACAGAATGGCAGTTATGTGTGTTGGTACTATTTTCTACATTTGACAAAGTAACACAAGAAAGAGATGAGCTCAGGAAAGACCTGACAGGTTTATAAGCAGAAAGGGAATAAAGAAATCCAGATAACTGCAAGATTGGAAAAAAAAGAAAGAAAGAAAGAAAAAAACAAGTTATTTATATTCTCCAAAAGTAAAAGGTAATACTGAAAAGGCTTTCAAGGGAGAAATACCCAATAAAACCTTTCAACCAATTAAATTTCTTAATAGCAAGAATCAAATAAAGTATAAAACAAGCCCTCTTATTTAGTCCTAAGGACTCAGAATAAAGTGTAAAAGAAATAGTTCTAAGCATTACGAGTGGTGGTTCATGCCTATAATCCTAGCACTTAGGAGGAGGTTTATGAGATAGAGGCCAGGCAGCTACACAGAAAGATCCTGTCTCAAAAATACACAAATGAAGCCAGCGCTGGTGGCTCACTCCTGCAATCCTATCTACTCAGTAGGCTGAGATCTGAGGATCGTGGTTCAAAGCCAGCCCAGGCAGGAAAGCCCGTGAGACTTTTATCTCCAATTAATCATCAGAAAACCAAAAGTGGCACTGTGGCTCAAGTGGTAGAGTACAAGCCTTGGGCTGAAGAGCTCAGGGACAGTACCCAGGTCCAGAGTTCAAGCCCCATGACAACTAAATAAATAAATAGAAGTCTAATCATCTGGCATTAAATCAAGCCAGGAAGAGAGTTATAGGGTGAAAGGGCAAAAAATACAGATGTTCTGAGAATTGTACCTCAAATGAATATGATTGATATAAGAAGCATACTGAGTTTTTGAGAGCACTTTCGAAATGAATCAGAAACCATTCCTTTCCTCAGACCCAAACCACTGTGCAAGAGTTCCTGGTACCATTTTACGTGTGGCTGGAGAGATTACCGGAAGAAAAATCAGTTCTTCTGAACCTCTAAGAAGTGGAGCCAAGGGATCACCAACAAACAGGAATGTGAGCTCTTCCAAAGTCAGAACAGGGTGCTACTAAAGAGATTTTACATGTCTCATTGGGGGGACCATGATCTAGGCAGACAGGATTTCAGCATTGCTACAGGCCAAAATTCCTGCACATGTCTTAAGTCCTTCTCTTTCTAGGTGGAAATATTACTGTCTCCTCCTGTTCTAGCATTCCTTCTATTCTATTCCACTCTCCTAGCCTATCCTACTACTCTATTCTCCTGTTATTCTAGTCTTTTCCATTCCACCTGCTCAGCCAGACCTTACAGAGTAAATTCGAGTATGCCATCCAGAAACCTTAGATTTGCAGCTGACACTCTGATGGATGGAGTCTACTCTTCCTTGGGGAGAGAGTAAAGGACTGAGAACAAATTATTGAAAGAAAAAAAAAAGGAAGGCAGAACACAGGGGGAATGCAGCAAAATGCTGTTTGTTCATTTCCCTTCCAGGAACATAGAGTATAAACTGCATTTCTCCTCCTTCTATGGCTAGCTTTGGCCAGCGTCACACAGGTAAAACCTGTGTGTCACGACCATGACTTCTTGTCCCCTGCCTGGGGACCATGGAAATGTGTGGGGAACTGATAGCATGATAAGCAGGGGCACTTTCATCAGACCGCATCTCTGACAACAGTGAGCTGTCTCCCCGCTGACCCAGAACCGGGGGTCCTGCAAAACCACAGGGACGGGGACTGTGTGCATTCTGTTATATATTTTAGTCTAGACTTACTCGGGGGAGACCCTTAAAGGATTCTGCAGCATTTCCTATTTATTTTTTAGTTGTTACCCAGGCTCTGATTCCTCATTAAAACAGTTAAGCAAGGCCTAGATCTAATGACTATTGTAAATAAGAATTAAATTCAAAATGCAACCTGACATTCCTGGTAACTTATTCACAAACAAAAACTCTTAGCCTGTAATTAGTTTTAACCTCAGTGTTATCTCCAAATAATACTGAAACACTCTCTCAAGTTTTCCTGTATACATCCTGTGTAAGGTGGAATTCAACCACTATATATTTATGTTAGATTCTTTTGAATCAAGTATAAGAACATTAGGTGAATGGCCTCAAAGTATCAAGGCTCCTATTCTCTGACTTCCGCTCATAAGTATAAGAAATTAGGCTATTCATACTAATCATGTGAGTCGTTTGGCTTTTGGCCCTGGTGCAGGTCCACCCACCTCTGCCTGCTGCTCGATACACGAAGACCCCCCCAACCTCACACAATCATTTCTTCTGCTTTTATTATCAAAAAAAGTATATTTCTAGTTTCTGGACTCTTGGAATCTGCCTTTTTTTTTTGTATCCAAACACACTGGAAGCTTTTTTTAGAATCCCCACGTAAAGCACAACCTGGACCAACTAACTCCTCTTTTAACTGCGAATGCTTACCCCTCAGGTGAATGTGCTGTGCCAGTGTCAACCCATGCTGACTCTTAGGGAAGTGAGACTTAACTTGCGACTCAATAAAACCCCAGGCCCTTCTTTCTGTATCTACACTGCCCGGTGGTAACCTCCGGGTCTCTTTCTTTCTTTCTTATTTTTGGGTCCGGTCATAGGGCCTGAACTCTGGGCCTGAGCGCTGTCCCTCAGCTCTTCAGCTCAAGGCTA